ATAATAATTTTGCCCTCTAGGCTTCCCCCTACAAGCTTCCCCCAAATAGTATGGACTTTTTGACTTTTTTAATAACTTTTTGATTTTTGTAAATTTTTCCAAACATAATATCAGGGACCTTAAAAAAAAAAGGAATAGCTTCTGTCCAGTCCTTAATCGGACTAGATCGTGTTGTTGGGCCCTTGGAGGCCTACTACGGATCCCGTTTTGATAATCTGAACCGTTCAATGTGTAGAACTCGTCGAGTACTATATGCCTGTAAAAAATTACTTTGATCGGATATCGATAGCTATGTGATCAAAACAGATTTTTGTCAACCGTTAATTTATTCATCGTCCATTTTTTTTATACAAAACTGATTTGATCACATAGCTATTGATATCCGATTAACGTGATTTTTTATAGGCATATAGTGCTCGATGAGTTCTACACATTGAACGGTTCGGATTATTAAAACAGGACCCGTGGTGGACCCCCACGGATCCAACAGCACGATCCAGTCCTTACAATCATCTCATATTCTCAATAAAAAAAATTAATTTTCATTATTGAAAGTGAAGGTTAAAATGACCATTAAAAAATGATGAATAAAAAATATTTGAGACCTTCCAAAACTTTTCATAATTTGACCAAAAATGATATGTTAAAGATTAATGATTCAGGCCTCGAATTTGCCTCGAAATCTTTTTTTTTTTTTGTATAGGGGTGATTATGTATAGGGGTGTGCTAAAAAATTAGACATTTTGTAAGTGAGTTGGGTTGGACTGACTGATTGGATAATAAAATTGACTGATCACATTTTTTTTTAATTTAATTTAATTTTATTTGTTAGGCTGTGTTGTTTTTTTTTTTTAATTTTTTTTAAAGGTGGTTATGTGTACGGTGTGACAAAATTATATGGAATTAACGAATTTTAATCAACAGTCTAACTGATCAGTCAATTAAATTGGACTGATTAAATGATAAAATTGACTGATCAGTTAAATTGTTGATTAAATTTTGTTAATTTCATATAATTTTATATAATGAGTTGATGCAAAATGTATAATATTTTATATTAGACTTTTAAAAAAAAGAAAAAAACTAAACTAACTAACACAGCAGCCCAAGAAAAAAAAAAAAAACACGGCATTCGAGCCAAATTCAAGTCCTCTATCACGACTGTATATTAAATTTAATATGTCATATATCTAATATATAGAGCCCAACTCTCTTCTCACATATTATGAGTGAATTTATAGATCTTAAATTAGCACTTTTGTGACTCCTTCCAATACACATAACTCATTTATTGCACCTTAAGTACTGCCTGAGACACTTGCTAGTAAGACCATAAATAAATAAAATGAGTATGGCTTCGCTCTAGTCTGTCGAAGGATGTTGTTGGGTCCATAGTGGTTCATTATGAGTCTCATTTTGATAATCTGAACCGTACAATATGTAAAACTCATCAAATATTATATGCTTGTAAAAAAAATCACGTTAATTGGATATCGATAACTATGTGGTTAAATTAGTTTTTTTATAAAAAAAAAAAAATAGACGGTGAAAAAATAAATGATTAACAGAAATTTGATTTGATCACATAGCTATCGATATCCGATCAATGTAATTTTTTATAGACGTATAGTACTCGACGAGTTCTACAAATTAACGGTTCGGATTATCAAAACGAAATTCGTGATAGATCTCCATAGACCGAGCAGTACCCTCCAGCCCGTGACTGAAGGGAAGCCATACCCAATAAAATTGTATACTACTCGAGTTGTATTGAGTAGTGACAAGTATTTGACTAATAATAAGTTTTTAAAGTATAATTTAATTTAATTTATTTATCTTTTAAGTTGATATTAAATTAATTTTAATCGAACAGATAATGAGTCAAGCTGAAGTAATTTAATTTAATAAGTTTTAAAATATGATTTAACTTAAAATATTTTTAAATTTAACTTAATTATAATATAAAGAATCAATCTTGAATGATTTTTGAACAAAGTGAACACCCGTTAAATTCAAAAGACTTAATCCATTTTCAATTTTGTCTTTAAGTAAACATTATTAGATGTAATCTAGTGAAATTGCTTAAATACATAGAAGTGTTGGCACAACTAACAAATTTTTGACAAATTAAAACCTTTTTTTTATTAGAGGAACGAGATCTTTTATCTCAAAATATATTTATATCCCTGGAACTTTGTAGAGTTCAAGTGTCGCATGAGCAAAACGGAAATGCCTCGTAGCTCGATTTTTCAGGCTCGAGTTTGGCTCGACAGCCCAAAACGACGTCGTTTTGGGCTGTCTTTTTTTTTTTTTTTCTTCTTCTTCTTTATGCTGGTCTGAAACAGAGGAAGAGAAGAAAGAGAGGGAGAGAGAGAGAGAGAGAGAGAAAGAGAGAGAAGGCAGGTCGTCCGTCGCAGCCCTCCGCCGTCGCCTCTGCCCGATCGTCGCAGCCCCGCATCCGCCGATCGTCGTCGCAGCCTCTGCCTCGCAGCCTCCACACCTCCTCCGCCTCCTTCTCCAGTCCTGTTGGCCCCCTCCAGTCCTTTCTCCTCCTCTTCATCCTCCTTTTTCTTCCTCTCTTCTTCTTCTTCCTTCTCTGATCTTCTTTTTTTTGCAAAAAAAAAAAAAAAATCAAAAATGGCGTATTACACAATGCGAAAAAATGAGATTTTCGCCAAGTGGTCCTCAAATGTGAGCAGCCCAAATTTTTATTTCCCCCTACCTCCTGATGAATAATTACGGGATAAATGTTAGTCTTTATTTTTTGCAATATCATTTATTTTTTGATGTAATTGTTAGCCTTTTTTTATGTAATTATGGGGTGAATTAATCAAACAAATTTTTTTTTTTCAATTTTTCAATTTTTTTTTATTTTTTATATTTGTCTAGTTGGAAATAATATAAATATATAATTTTTTTAACAAACAGATAAAAAAATGTCACAAAAGACAAAAAATAAATAAAAATAAAATCACAAAAAACCTATATCCAAACAACACCTCCAAAGTTGGAGGGAAAGTTAGTTAAGATTTGCCAAAAATAGCAAATGACCATTGGAGCATCATTGCTATAATTTGACAAAATAACACTATTCATTGTCAAATTATAACAATAGCAACCCCAATATAGCAACAACCATTGGAGATGCTCTAAGTACTGCCTGAGACACTTGCTAGTAAGACCATAAATAAATAAAATAAGTATGGCTTCCCTCCAGTCTGTCGAAGGATATTGTTGGGTCCATGGAGGCCTATTATGAGTCTCATTTTGATAATCTGAACCGTACAATATGTAAAACTCATCAAATATTATATGCTTGTAAAAAAAATCACGTTAATTGGATATCGATAACTATGTGGTTAAATTAGTTTTTTTATAAAAAAAAAAAAATAGACGGTGAAAAAATAAATGATTAACAGAAATTTGATTTGATCACATAGCTATCGATATCCGATCAATGTAATTTTTTATAGACGTATAGTACTCGACGAGTTCTACAAATTAACGGTTCGGATTATCAAAACGAAATTCGTGATAGATCTCCATAGACCGAGCAGTACCCTCCAGCCCGTGACTGAAGGGAAGCCATACCCAATAAAATTGTATACTACTCGAGTTGTATTGAGTAGTGACAAGTATTTGACTAATAATAAGTTTTTAAAGTATATTTTAATTTAATTTATTTATCTTTTAAGTTGATATTAAATTAATTTTAATCGAACAGATAATGAGTCAAGCTGAAGTAATTTAATTTAATAAGTTTTAAAATATGATTTAACTTAAAATATTTTTAAATTTAACTTAATTATAATATAAAGAATCAATCTTGAATGATTTTTGAACAAAGTGAACACCCGTTAAATTCAAAAGACTTAATCCATTTTCAATTTTGTCTTTAAGTAAACATTATTAGATTTAATCTAGTGAAATTGCTTAAATACATAGAAGTGTTGGCACAACTAACAAATTTTTGACAAATTAAAACCTTTTTTTTATTAGAGGAACGAGATCTTTTATCTCAAAATATACAACAATGATTCATCCCCCTTTTTCCCCACCCCCTTTGACCCCCTCTCTCTCTCTCATTGGTTACATTTTCTTTTTCTTTTTCTTTTTTTTCCTGCTCTTTCAATCACCACCCGCCACGTGGCAAAGGGGGGTGAGGGGGTGACCCCCAAAAGGGGGTCCCAAGCATTATTCATATATCTAATCTAGCTAAGTAATGGGAAAGGGACCCAACTCTTGACTGAAATAAATGAAAATTTGTAAATTTGGAACTAACAATCAGATTCAGACATATCACAATTTTTCCAAAAGTCACACTTGATGCTAAATTGTTTGAACTTATCAAGAATCAAATTAAGCTGCTAGCAGCATAAGAATGGCCTAGGCATGTTCTTGGGATAGTCCAAGCAATGCCCATTTTTGGCGAAAAAATTATTTAGTAGGTCCAATCTACAGAGTACACTGACGTCTTCTAATAATGACATATAAGACCTTTTTTAACCCTCACTCAAATATTTTACTATCAAATTTAGATTTAATAAAAATTTAGTGAAATTGATATTTCAACCATTTCACTAAATTGGTATCAAAAGAAGGGAGTCTTACCTTTTTCATCAAATCAAGAGAGTGTTTAACTTTTCATCAAATTTTGTAGATGACTGTTGGTGGACGACTGAGTGAATGACCGGCTGATTAACCGAGTGGACGATTAGCTGGACAATCGGGTGGACGATTGGGAAAAATTTATAGAAAATTTGCATTAGGCTAGACGACTGCTCGAACATCTCTGGTCATCCTCTCGGTTGTTTGATGAAAATTAAAAATTTAATGTTAAAACGCTTGATGTTAGATGGAACTTTTAATCCAAATCTTTACTCAAATTTGATAAAAAAAAAAAAATAGGAAGCATTGGAGATACACTGAGACCACTTTTTGTCTCCTAAAGTAAAATAACATATATATATATAAAAAAATCAGTAAATTCAACAAACAGATGGAGGAAAAATCAACTTCTGAAACAGCTTTTAACTAAAGATAATAACTAGAGAAATTGTATTACTAATTTAAATTACATCAATGAAGAAGTTCTAAAGCAAGCAAAAGGGAAGATCTGACTCTCATTCTCTTGGCCTGTTTTTTATGGAAAAGGATGAGCACGTGTTTAAGCCCATCTCCTCTCCATTAATAAGAACTCTTGATTGGCAGTGGCACACTCAAAAAGATTCATCACTAGGAAGTAGGGAAAAATAAAAAATCTAGATAAGTAGTGCAAACAAAGGTTGAGAAACTATTGCATCTTCAACCACTGATCCCCATTTTCCAAGATATTGTGAACTTTTTACCTACAGGCAATTCCAACCCATTAACTTCTACCATCATAGTCTTCTTCTTGGCTCTTCCATCTTCCATTTCTTGAGGATAAGTTTGTTCTGTTGTTCTAAATTCAAGTTTTGAAACATCCACCAATGGATTTCCATCAATCTCAACTGCAAATCCCCCTCCAATTCGATCCAATCCCACCACAGTCACCTTCTCAATGATCCAACCTTTGTCCGAAGCAAATTTACTCTCTTGAACGTCCGACCACACCTTCACCATTCCCTTACCCACAGTTGCATAGAAATCGACATACGTGGAATACCCATTTCCTAGTTTCATCTCTGGAAGCTCGTCATCATCTAGGAAAAGATTTCCTTTGGCTTGTCCCTCAGTAGCCCCAGCCGGGAATGTCACCATGAGGCTAAAAGGTGTCATTCTTGCTTCCTTGGAAATCATCCCACCACGCTGCATTGGGAGAATTGTGTTTTGATACAAATGCACATTGATCACGTGCAATGGTGCATCAAGTGTTCGATAGTGCGCCTCCTTGGATACAATAGCGTGTGTCATATCAAATAAATTGTACCAAGTGCCCGGGGGGAAGAGCACTTTGACCTCTGATTTCCCTTTCTCAAGCACTGGAGACACCATGAGAGCACTCCCTAGTAAGAACTGTGTGCTTAGGTCATAAACCTTAGTCAAATTCGGGAAAGAAAAGAACAATGGCCTTGCAATTGGTGCACCGCTTATGTGAGCCTCGTAGTTCAATGTATACAGATATGGAAGTAGCTTGTACCTCATGCCTAGAGCATTTCGAGCAGACTCAGCTACTGATTCCCACTGATAAAGCTCCTGTCTTGGTGAATAGAAATTTGCATGATCCCTTGAAAAGGGGTAAAAAGCACCTAGCTCGATCCAACGGTTACAAAGCTCTTCAGTGGGTGCTGGATAGAATCCACATATATCTGAACCGACCATTGGAATTCCAAATATGCCAAAGTTTAGCATGGTAGAGATTGAATATTTTAGATCATCCCAAGTACCCTTATTATCACCTGTCCAATGCGCAGCGTAGTGGCCTGAACCGACAAATGTGGAGCGTGATAATATAAATGGGCGCTTACCCTGAAGCCCTAAAAGGCCCTTGTGAGTTGCGACAGATTGAGAGAAGCCATAGAGACTATGAGCATCATACTCCAAAACTCCATTGTAATGAACTGCACTAGTAGCTATGGTTTTGAACCCAATTGGTACTTGCAATCCCGAAGCATTTATCTTGTAAGGCGGATCATCCCATGTTGTTTTCGTTATGTTCTTGCAATCTAAACAACAGATCCAACCGGGTCCCGTTCCACTAGGGCACACCTTACCCTCTGGGATCGTGCACAAACCAGAACAGAAATTTGAAGCTTCATTCATGTCAATCCACAGACCATCCACAGGGACAAGTTCATGGAATCGCTTAATTTCACCAACCCACCAATCAACAGTTTTTGGGTTGAGGAAGTCAGGGAAGTTAACGGCGCCTGGCCACACTTGGGCAAGGTAGGGCTTTCCACCATACTTGATGAAGACATCGTTGGCTATGCCTCTTTGGTGGACACCATAGCTAGAATTGACAGAAATTCCGGGATCAATGATCACAATGTATTTCATGCCTTGGGAATGTATTTTGTCTAGGAATGCCAGTAGCTTTGGACGCGGGTAGTTGGTGGGGTTGAGGGTGAAATCTTTGTGCCCATCCATATGATCATCGTCATTCCAAATCACATCAAGCGGGATCTTGGCCTTTTTGTAATTCGCAACAACATCTTCTACAACGGATAGGTTGTGGTAACCCCATCTGCATTGGTGAAATCCTGAAGCATCAAAACAAGTAAATTATGTCAATTGGATGTTTATAAAAATGATAAATTTGGAGAGAGTAAGATGTACGCATTCTTTACCCCGTGTGCAGAGAGGCTATTTTTGTAATTTAAACCCCATTATGCCTCGGTCACAATGTTATGCATGTCAACTCTTGTTGTCTACTGGTTTTTTTCAGGGTAATAAAACATGTATAAGTGGTTTTCAAACATACCATATGCATAGGTCCTACAAATACATGATGTTTCGGTCATTTCAATGGAAAATGAATGAAATTTTGTTCCTTGGTCCTCATACAAGTATTCATAACACAAAAAACAAATAACATTTAAGTAGCTAATCAAAAAATGGTTTCTGGTATTCTCAAACTATATCTCTATATGCATACAAATTTTTTAAGAAAAGCTGTACTTGTTTAACATTTTGATCGTACAATTACAATGGTAGAAAAGATCAATGTGAATTTTTTTTTTTACTCCAATGTCTTCTTAGTTTTGAGGTGTTTTAAAATATGTAGGAATAAAGAAACAAGAGAGCATGAAATCAGCTTCAATATCTGGTTATTTTGTCCCGACATACTTGTCATGCAGAAGAACAACAAATGAAGTTATTGTAAAAAATTTATAAGCAATCCTAATAAATTCACAGATGTGCCCGTTATTAAGGGAAAAAGAAAAGTCAGAAAAAATTCCTAACTAAATGTTTCTAACAGTAAAAATTGACCCATACTTCTGCATGCTATTTTCTTGAAAAGGATGAGCCCTCCGACATCATGTGATTGTGGCAATTTATTCATGGATTCTGATACAGGTGTTGAGTGTTGTTGTGTCTATGTCTGATTTATCTAAATTTCATGCTCATGACACCAGGGTCCGTTTGTCTTGGGGTGTAATGGATGAGAGGGGATTAGGATGGAAGTGGAGTTATTTGGTATTCTCAAACTATATCTATATATGCATACAATTTTTTTAAGAAAAGCTGTACTTGTTTGACATTTTGATCGTACAATTACAATGGTTGAAAAGATCAATGTGATTTTTTTTTTTTACTCCAATGTCTTCTTAGTTTTGAGGTGTTTTAAAGTATGTAGGAATAAAGAAACAAGAGAGCATGAAATCAGCTTCAATATCTGGTTATTTTGTCCCGACATACTTGTCATGCAGAAGAACAACAAATGAAGTTATTGTAAAAAATTTAGCATAAGCAATCCTAATAAATTCACAGATGTGCCCGTTATTAAGGGAAAAAAAAAAGTCAGAGAAAATTCCTAACTAAATGTTTCTAACAGTAAAAATTGACCCATACTTAGACAGCCCTCCGACATCATGTGATTGTGGCAATTTATTCATGGATTCAGATACAGGTGTTGAGTGTTGTTGTGTCTATGTCTGATTCATCTAAATTTCATGTTCATGACACCACGCCCGTTTGTTTTGGGGTGTAATGGATGGGAGGTGATTAGGATGGAGGTGGGATTATTTAGTGTTGTATTTGTTTGTAGAAATGGGGAAGGGATTAGGATGGAGGAGGGGATTAGGATGGAGGTTGGAAGGAGGATTAGAATGGAGGAGGTGGAGGTGGTATTAAAAAAATAGTAAGGGATAAGAAATTTTTTTATTTTTTACATATTGAGAATTTGTTTTTAAGCATTAATGTTTATTTTTTTATTTGTTTTATTATTTTATATAAAAATAATTTAACAATTCCTACACTAACAACTATCATCAAAACAAACACAATTTTACTTAATCTCCTCACTATCAATCCCCTCACTAACAATCCCCTCACTATTAATCCCCTCACTATGAATCCCCTCCATTCTACCTCTGAAAACAAACGGGTCCAGGAGACAATCATATTTTATGTCTTGAAACTTTTAAGCTAATGCCATGTTTACAAACTTAAATAAAGTATTTTATGCATAAAATGGGAGTTTGTATAATGTTAATTCGACTACTTTAGCATACTTAATGGATGCATGTCCTAAAAATTTAGAAGAATTCAGATAACATAGCTCTTAGTGAGTTACATCGAAAATGGACAGAGTATCACACGTTCCCATGTCAACGGGTTGAGGGGTGCCACATGAGTATGTCTATTTGATACAGCCAAGGGCGAACCCAGGATTCGTCTATGGGGTGATCATACAATATATTTTAAGTATAACCACGTAAGAAAAGGGAATTTAATAATACAATCTAGATTAATATCTAAATTTATTAATTAGAAACAATCTAACTAAGTTGTACTTGATGAGTGTTTAAAGATTCGAATCCATCGATTACAAAATCTAGATCAATTTTCAAAAAACATGAAAAACAATATGCTTTATCCTTTGAAGGATAATACTCTAGTCAGGAAAATTGTTTAAACCAAATATGTTGAAATCGGCAATTCTACTTTCCAAATGAGGATGTAGGATACTCAAGTTTAGGTTGATAAGGCCCCAAGTTCACATAAGCTCGTCTAACCTCATCTTGTTGATTAACTAAATATTCACAAATTTGCAAGCGCAAACCAGGATCCCGTTCAATAACAGTTGAATCAAATTCGCTTGGTTTATTTGCTTGAGGCATGGAGGCGATTGCACATCAGAAAATAAGATTTCAACAACATTGGATGTTGTATTACTAGACTTCTGTTTTGATTGATAGAATTAGAAAAGGGTTTTGCGTTTTTTGAGTGTGGAGGTTCCATTATTTATAACCTAAAAAAAATTTAGCCCTATTTAATAGTAAACCAGAGTATACTCGTAATAATTTTAAATATTAGGATTTTTATATATATCCTCAATAATTTTTATTTAAGTTTTCATTATTTTTATATATGACCAAAAAAACTTCTTCAAAGTTCAAAAACTAAGAGCAATATAGAACATTGAACAATGCAACATCATAAAAAAACTAAGCAATATAATATTTGTTGCATAAAGACAAAATTTCAAAACCATTGTTAATCAAATCCATTCTCAACCAATGAAATAAAATAATTGGTTAATTATACTTACCAAAAATATTAGAAAAGTGAAGCTGCTGCAAGGCTGCTAGAGACGACGGAGAGGGCCATTGCCTATCTATTAGAAGATGTGAGGATTGTTTTGGAAGATTTGTTCTTTAAACAAATAAAAATCTATTGGGCTGCGTATCTATTTTTTTTTTAGGTAAGTATTGGGCTATTATTGGACTGCCTATCTAAAAAACAAACAAAAAAAATGTTGACCCTTATTTGGGGCAAGGTTGGGCTGGGCTAGGAGAGGTTGGGAGGCTGGTTGGGTTGGGAAAAAAATTTCTACAGATTTTTAAAATTTTGGGCTGGGCTGCAGCCACCTATGTCCAGCCCTAGGTCTGCCCTTGGATACAGCTTTTTTTCAAGTTGAAAGTTGATAATTAGAAAATAAAAAATATCCTTGTCTCAACTTTCAAATTATCAACTTCTTTTAGGTTAAATCATATCTGCCTCATAAAATATAACCTGCACCAAATACTACACAAATTTCCAAAATAAAAAAAGTTATAAGCAAGTCAATGAGCTACGCCAAACTGATTTTTCTTTTCAGGCTCTTATAACGCCCCAAAGACTAGGACATTAGGGAATGGTCCAAGGGATGTGGCACCCAACAATGGCACGGAACAACAGGTTACTCAACTACCTGTGGCACAGAAAATAAACACTGCATGTGACATTAGAGGCAGTGGAATTTTTGTGAAGGACAATAATAACCCTAACATGTCCTCTGGGGTCTCACTCTCACAGATATGGTTCTAATAATTGCAGAGTGTAGGCTCCAAAATATAATCACCGACATTTTCAAAAATTAAGTGGGATCGAAACCAAGAAAGATGAATCAGTGATCTTGATCAAGATCCAATGGTGATTGATTATCCATTTTCCATTTATAAAAATCAAGCGGGACCGAACCCAAGAAAGATCAATCAGTGATCTTGATCAAGATCCAATGGTGATTGATCAAGGAAGACTAATATGTAGAAGTTTTATTAGTGCTTTTGTGGGGCTGCTTGGTTTTTTTACAAAGATGTGCAAAAGTGTCATCTTGGGCTTATCAAGTTAAGTTGGGAAGATTCACCCCAAAAAAAGTTGAGTTGTGAAGAAAAGAAGATTTAAGGCTATGGTAAGAATCTTGGCATTTAGAATAGATTGGAATAGGAAATTGATTCCCAATTACCTATCCCAACAACAAGAATCACATTATGAAAGTCGAGCATGTAAATGGAGATTTGCAACTGGTTCTCCCGTCCTTCCACTCTCCTTTTACGAGAGGAGAGGCAGTGAACCGACATTCACATTCTTAAAAAATGTTAAGCATTTAAGAGAAAAAAAAATAATTATACTTATAATATTTAAAATGTTATCATTTTCTCATAAAAAATTTCTAACCAAATCAAATACAGAAATTTGATTGCTATTAATGAGAATCCCATTCTCATTCTCCTCACAATTTTTGTCATCCAAAAACAACCTCGCTTCAATAATGATATATAAAATAAAGAGCTTTGAACTTGGGCCTAAAAAGATAAATTTCAAGAATTACAGATCAAACAAAATGGCTTTTGTAAGTACAAAAGTTACATTTGAAGAACTACTGATCAAAGAAAATGATGTGTACACTACAGCACAAGTGACAAAAGAAGTAAACACAAGGGGACCAACCCACCTACCTCTACTTGTTTGTGTTTTACACAAACAAAACATAACTATCCCCCCCAAAAAAACCTAGATGTAACATAAGGGTTCACAAGATCAATCAGTGTTTGCCCCACTACTCAAACAATTGGACGGTCCTAATTCAAAGTCCCCACCACAAATCAGCAACAGCGTCGGTGATTAACATATATAGATTACCCATGTGACATTTACTATAATTTGATATCAAGATCAACACACATCATTTATTGGAAAAAAACTTGGCTACAAAGAACATGTGGTGCCAAGGACTTTGTACACAATGAAACTACCACAACTAATAATTCTGTAATTCATATAATGACTGGTTCAACAATGCTGGGATACAGCAGATTTAATAACAATCTCACTAACACACTCAATGTGGATCTCATAATGAGTAATGGTTAATCTTATCAAAACTTGTGAGTATATTAGTAAGATTGTTAGTAAATGTGTTAGTATTCCTAACATTTGACCTTACCTTTTCAAATTCAGTGTTTGTCCTCTCTTTCCTCTCTTCCGTTAAGGTTGTATTTGGTTTATGAATTTAGGAATGGATTTGGAAAGTGAAAGGAAAAAAGTAAGTAGAATGTGAATAAAATATATCTATATTTTACCTAATTTCTCACACATTTTTCTTTTCTTTTTTTAAATCCCTCCTCAAATTTATAAATCAGACACAACCTAAGAAAATTATATAGTATTTTTGTGATAAAGAAAATGTGATACACAACTTAATATTTATTATCTTAAATAGTGATATTTATAATTTTTTTATTAATTTTTAAAAGATAATGTGCTAAGCGTCGCAACATTAATGATATGAAGCCTAACCTTACCCGTAGTTTGGTTAATTGCCTCATTTAACAGTTTGTTTGAAGTGTGACTCACTCATTACTAATATTACAACTAATGTATACACTAGATTGTGTTTGAATAATAAAATTTCACTAATAAGTTAAAAAGAAAAAGCAAAAAATGATGGAAATAAAATATAAATTAATTTTTTTCTCAAATTTTTCAATTTTTTTAAATACATATTTAAATTCATGATTTAGACATAAACTTAAATTACACAACAACGTGTGCAGTGTGGTCCATGAACGACATACTTGCCATTTCACATTGGTTGGTGCATTGTTTGGGGTGTCCGAACTATTATGGGTCTAAAAAATTAATGTTATAAACCAACACTGCCCACAAGCATTGAAGTGCTAATTCGGAGTGTTTGAGAGGAGTGGTAGTTCATTAAAATATAAAATTGATTAAAATAGTTAATAATATAAAATATTATATTTAATTTATAATTATTTTATTTTTTTTCTTACAATTATCAAATTAATTAAAAAAAAAACCAATCCCAACATCTCAATCATAATTTTTTTTAATCAAATTAAAATAATTAAAAAAATCAAATAATTAACTTCCCAAACAAAGTTAAGAGTAAAAACCAGCACAGTAAAAAAGTAAAGCAAATAGAGTTTAGGGTTAAAAATGTAAAACTCACCCAAAGCCCAGTAAGGCATCGGAGCAGGCCGGCCAATCAATGCAGTGTACTGATCCACAACATCCAAAGGTGTAGGCCCAGCAAAGAAGTAAAAGTCCAAAACACCCCCAATCACCTTATATGTCAATGACTCCCCCCTATAAGTCACATCCATTCCATCACTATTCATCAACAAGACCCCATGGGCTTGGGCCCACCCACCCCCATTCCTCAGGTCCATGTACACAGGGTGGGACCCATAAAGATCAGTATTCAAATTAATGGCTGACACATCTGTTGTGTACAGTGTGTATGGATCGTTTGGATATAATTTGATCCCGTGTGGTTGCGTGTTCTCTCCTAAACCGTACAGCGATGCATCTTTGGGTAATCTTGTGGACATCTCGAGGTACTGATCTTTGAATACCAAATCACCATATGGGTCTGATTTATCACAGCTTGAATTGAAGAGGGTCTGACCGTTTGATTTCCTTTTCACAACAAACCCAAATGGGTCTGCGATGTAGCTGAATATAAGCTCTGAGCCTGAGAACTCTGAAGCTGTTATTGGGTTTGAACTCCCAATCGTCTGCTTCATCAATGGTGGAGGCTTTTCTCTTGGCAAAAGATCGTACGGTACTTCCCATCTTTGCTTCTCTTTGTCTGTGATGTGGACCCTCAATCGATCGTTTGTTTCATGCCTGATAATAAAATATAGAAATCAGAATGATCAGATGGTGGAATGAAGTGAGGTTTATTGGATACCATGGGGATGCGTTACACGGAATCAATGAAGAGAATTGAGGGTTTAGAGACTTACTTGACGTAGAGCTGCAAATGGGGGATATCAGAACCGTAGATTGTGTTCATTTTCTTGATTTGGAGGTGGCCCACGAGGCCTCCATCAGGGGACTCCTCTATGGAGATCAGACGGTAGCCATTGCCAATCTTGGGTGGGATGGTGGAGGCTGAATTTAGACCTGCAATGCAGAGAATCAAAACAAGGAGGATGGACATGAGAGAGGTGACCATGGTGAGAGATGATCACTACCCACTGAGAGACTGTTAAGTGTAGAAAATTGTTTAGGGTTTGGTATTTATAGAGTGAAAAATGGAGGGAGGATTGATAGGTTACATGTGAGGTGCATGAGGTTGCTATAGTCTCTTGCATGTGGATGATGATTAAATCTTCTCTAACTCTTTGTTGGTCCCACATCTAGCATCGTCTTTGATTGGGGTAAGTTTTGATAGAATGATCATCTTGTTTTTCATATGGTACAGAACTATTTTATTCCCCACATTTGGCTATTACTAACCTAATAATTTGTGACATATACAATCTCGTTAATAGCTTTTTACATACTATGGTATCTATTTTTTTGTGATTGTTGTTCAATCATTTTAAGATAGGTTCACAAGTTTTTGAGATCTTGGCAGAACCTTCCAATCAACCAATCTCTTTATATTTGTTAAATTAGAGTGTTTTCCAGCCGAGCACCTTAGGTTTGGCATTAAGATCGGGCAACATTAGCTGTGTAACGTTGTCGTGTTCATACAATATAAGAAGACTCACTATATTGAAAGCACCTCCTTTGGAAACTTTGATTTTTAGTTAAAATGTTAAAAAAATTATTTCTTTAATTTCAAAATAATAGTCACTTTTGAATAATTTAATTTTTTTTATAATACAATTATTACATTTTAAAAATATTAATTTTTTAAAATTATCATTTGATAGTACATTTTTATAAAAAAAATATCAATTGTCATAATTATATTTTTTGTATTATTAATAATAATTTAATTTTTTTTATAATACAATTATTACATTTTAAAATATTAATTTTTTAAAATTATCATTTGATAGTACATTTTTATAAAAAAAATATAAATTGTCATAATTATATTTATTGTATTATTAATAAATTTAAAAAAAGGCAAAATAGTAAATTTATATTATTTTATTTCTTAATTTTTGAAAAGAGAGTAATATTTTGCGACAATGAAAAATAGAATAAGTGACTAATATTTTGGGTCAGATGAAGTATTATAAGTTGTCACATTTATCTCTTTAATTTTTTACACATTTTTTCATAAAAAATTAAAAAGTCAATTCTCAAACAACGTCGCTATCTAATGTTAAGAACTGCACAAGAGATGAACAATTAGTTAAAGGATAAATTATAGTAAACCCTTTAAACTATGATTCCTTTACACTCTGTCTTTTTGAATTTCAAAACGCAATAGTTAACCAACTCAAATTATTATATTGTTACACTTAACATATTCCGTATGTTAAACAAATAATACACTTATTACCCGTTATTAAATTTTCTAGGACAATAATACTTTTATCTAGTGATCACTTTTGTACTTTGTCACTTTTATCATAGTGGCAAAGTATAAACAAGATCACCAAATAAGGGCAATATTACCCTAAAAATTTAATAAATGTATCATATATTTTACATATGATATGATTTTGTGTAAATTTTAACTATTGATTTTTGAAATTTAGGGAGATAAAATGTAAATTGGTCATGGTTTAAGAATTTATCATAATTTACCATTAATTAAAATACTCTTGATAATGTATAACAATTCTCCAAATTTTTTACTTTGTTTCATACTATGTCATTAAATTTTGTGAGTTCATTGAATCATATTAAACAATGATTTAACATATAATCATCATGTTTATTATTTTTAAGATCCTAGCACATCCAATATGTTAACAATTGCTACTCTGGTATGATATTAGATTGAGTTTCATATCACCGTTTGTATGGATATGATTTTCCTAGTTTTATGATAATTTCTCTCTAATTTGTGATCTAATTTGAGTGCTACTATTAAGGTTTAGTGGGCTCACCTCGTGGTTTAACGATCTGAATCATTTAAGTTGTTTGAAAATTACTAACTACATAATCAAAAATTATATTTATCATTGACAAACATGATCTAATCTTGCAACAATTAATGTTTGATCAATTTTATTTGCATGACTAAGTTTCTAAGTTGGGCTCTACGAATTAATTATTTTATTTAATTTTTTGTGCTTTTATAAGAAAAATGTACAAAAAAAAATAATATGATAATTTATAACTACATTTTAAATTTTTCACTACAAACTCATATTGGCAAATGAATCCTAATAATACCTCTCCACTTGAATCATTACTCAATTTTTTATTTAGGGGTTGTTTGGAATGTTCTAAATAAGTATACTTTTGGACTTTTTATAAAAAGATGTGTAAAAAAATAGAAAAGGGATGTTAATTAATGTGATCCAAAAAAAATTAAAAAATAAAAAGTATGAACTTATTTAATCTTCCCAAACAAGATCTTAATATTTCCCAGCGAATATAGATAGATTTTATTTATTTATTTATTTAACATAGATAGATTGAAACCTTGATTATTGCACCCATAATAGTTCAACAAATATAATTTGACTAACCCATTCTCACCTGATAGTACAGTATAATAAATAAAATATTATAATATAGCCTCGTGAGGTTGGCTCTTCTCAAAAAGACGAAGATTTTGCACCGAATTGAAGTTTAAGTTAAATAATAAGATATGAAAATGACCTAATTTCCTGGATCTCTTGTTCCAAAATATTATTGGGTAGGTCGATAGATTGAGTAATTTAATTATGTGATTAACTAAGATATCATAAACAATTACTCAGAGTACGTGACATGATGGAATCTGTTTGGCTGTCATATTATTTGCTCGGCCATGCAATGCGGTTGTTCAGATTTTACTTCCCACAATATTTGTATATAGACATCCTCTCATGATTAAAATTAAAACTAAAACTAGAATTTACAAATTATAGAATAGCCGAACTCCATTTATTTAGGTCTCGTTTGAGAACTCTCCATTTTAGTTAAAAAGTCAAAAAGTTATTAAATTAGTCAAAAAGCCAACAACACATACAAAAAAGTCAAAGATTCTATTTTCTCTGTACTTTTTGCACATCTTTTCGTAAAAAGTCAAAAAGTCATCCCAAACATACTAATTTTTTTTAGCTCATATTTTAACCAAATAACCAAAAAATTACTAAATTAATCTGTTCCCAAACGAGGCCTTAGTTATTATTTTAGTTGCTCACAAGTGGCGTGTGAGATTAAAAATAGAATTCGACTATTTTGTAATTAGTTTCTAAAATTAATTTTAGAAGATCTAGATTTTTAGAGCATCTCCAACCCACTGGGTATATTATGCTTGTTAGTCAAAATACCTAGTATAACTCATTTTTTTCAACTCCAATGCACTATGCATATGATTAGGCATTTTAGCTCAACTCAAATTCACTAGCTACATGTAGCTAGCCTTCAAGGTTAGGCAAAATGTATTTAATCATTAGGATCATTTCCCTCCATCTTTGTTGCTGATGTGTCATTTTATAAAATTAATAGTATTTAGATGAATAGCTAAAATAAAGAGCATGGTTAGAGTAAAAACATGAAATAGTTGATAGCATAATCAAAAATTATATTTATCATTGACAAACATGATCTAATCTTGCAACAATTAATGTTTGATCAATTTTATTTGCATGACTAAGTTTCTAAGTTGGGCTCTACGAATTAATTATTTTATTTAATTTTTTGTGCTTTTATAAGAAAAATGTACAAAAAAAAAAATAATATGATAATTTACAACAACATTTTAAATTTTCACTACAAACTCATATTGGCAAATGAATCCTAATAATACCTCTCCATTTGAATCATTACTCAATTTTTTATTTAATATTTCCCAGCGAACATAGATAGATTTTGTTTATTTATTTAACATGGATAGATTGAAACCTTGATTATTGCACCCATAATAGTACAACAAATATAATTTGACTAACCCATTCTCACCTGATAGTACAGTATAATAAATAAAATATTATAATATAGCCTCGTGAGGTTGGCTCTTCTCAAAAAGACGAAGATTTTGCACCGAATTGAAGTTTAAGTTAAATAATAAGATATGAAAATGACCTAATTTCCTGGATCTCTTGTTCCAAAATATTATTGGGTATGTCGATAGATTGAGTAATTTAATTATGTGATTAACTAAGATATCATAAACAATTACTCAGAGTACGTGACATGATGGAATCTGTTTGGCTGTCATATTATTTGCTCGGCCATGCAATGCGGTTGTTCAGATTTTACTTCCCACAACATTTGTATATAGGCATCCTCTCATGATTAAAATTAAAACTAAAACTAGAATTTACAAATTATAGAATAGCCGAACTCCATTTATTTAGGCCTCGTTTGGGAACCTTCCATTTTAGTTAAAAAGTCAAAAAGTTATTAAACTAATTAAAAAGCCAACAACACATATCAAAAAGTCAAAGATTCTCTTTTCTCTCTACTTTTTGCACATCTTTTCGTAAAAAGTCAAAAAGTCATTTCAAACATACTAGTTTTTTTAGCTCATATTTTAACCAAATAGTCAAAAAATTACTAAATTAATCTGTTCTCAAACGAGGCCTTAGTTATTATTTTAGTTGCTCACAAGTGGCCTGTGAGATTAAAAATAGATTTCGGCTATTCTGTAATTAGTTTCTAAAATTAATTTTAGAAGATTTAGATTTTTAAAAAAGAAGTGTGAATACTATTAAATTTATAAGATGTTTGGCATGTGCTAAATTATTATACCTTTTGATTTTTTATTTAAAAAAAAAATATTGATTGAATTTGAAGTATGTGATAAAGAGATAATATGACTCAAATGAGATGATTGTAATCTAAATAAGATAATATATTAAAATAATATGTGTTATTTTAACACAGGTCAAACAATACCTTATTCTCTACAATAATTAAGCCCTTTTGCTGAGTGTGATGATGTCCATTATTTCAACAAAATTTGTTTATCTGATCACTAATAATTACACTGTTTGATTTTTGTTAAAATTAAAAATCGAGTAACTGTAGATAAATGAGACAATAGGACAAACATCTTTTTTTTGGATGTAAGGTTTGGAAACAGACTTTTTTAGTAATTTTTTGACTTTTTGGTTAAAATATGATGTAAAAAAATTAGTATATGTACGGGAAAGAAATACACCTTCTCGTATAATCTT